AAGGTCTAGTGATGGGCCACTGTCTTAAGAGGCATCTAAGCGTGATACGAGTAGTAGACACGTGGTAAGCCGATGTGCTCTATAACTATAGAAGTAGTCACATAGACAAGCGAACAGCTAACTCTCCCTATCCAAATCTTGAATGACCAATATGAGAGACCAATGAATAAATCTGAACACTCAAAGTGTCTTTTTGGAAAAAATTCTCCATATATCAAAAGTACTTTGCAATTCGCATGTTACGCACGCATCAGCGAAGTAGTCGCTCAACAACCACGCCTTCATGAGCGACTGTTTTACTTTCGGTTCGTGTCGAAGACAGTGGCGGGGACGGATCCCGACTCGGAATATTGCCAGATGTCCATTAATTAACGGTTTGTGCTCGTTTCGTATCAAATTAATTGGGAAATGTCGTCCGATGTCCTGCCCGAGTCTGCCTCGGACGATTTCGACGGACGTCTCTGCACAGGTGCCCGCCCGCTAATTAGACACGATGAAAAATTATCTCGGCGATCGCGTATGCTGCGAAAACAAATTTTCAAAAACAAAAGAAAAATCACGTCTGTTGTGAGGATCGATTAGGACGTTAATCTCGTTGCGTCCGTTGTGGGCTTCCTTTCTGCCGAATTAAAACGATTACGGGGGATTTATTTTTAATTAACCGAGCTGAAGGCGAAATACAATTGCCGTGATTATCCATCTGCGGCCACGGAAAAAAAATTCCAATTATCGGATCAATTTCTATTATTAATGTAATAAGAACATTCGCGAGGGTTCTCCCTATGTCCTCCACCTCTTTCTTTCTGGAGGGATCCAAATCCATTTATTCATCCATTCTCTAAAGATATCGATGGTCCCAGAATGGGGTTATACCCATTTGCACTTTGATTTGCTCATTTCTTAGATGGTCTATTACTTTTTTAATCCACACTCGTGTTTTGTCCCGTTTTGTTTACTCCCAGGTTTCCGATTCATGAATCCATATTCATTCAACAAATGACTTGAATATCGTTCGTTTCTGTTCTTGGAAAGCGTCACTTCTAAATATTTAATGTGGTTGCACCAATATTCATGTACCCAGGTCTCTCTGTGTTGCTTTAAGTTGCTTTTTAAAGTCCCTTTCTCTCGCTATCAAACCACACATCCGATCTGTTTTTTTTTCTTTTCAGTGCAGGAGCTACCGAGCATTCTCGTCTCAGTGCTTGGAAATTCTACTACTTTTCGAGTTTAACCAAACTTGTACATGGTAAATATTTCTAACTATAGTCGAAACTCTATATAGCGAAATTGAAGGGACTGTTTTTTTTTTCGTTTGAATGGTTGGTGGTAGTCCCAGATCAACTTCTTCATCTTCTTCTTCTTCCTGGTGCTCTTTCTCACTAACTAACTACTAACTCACTACTACCACTGTTATACGCTCTTTAGAAAGTTTTCCACACACACACTTTTCGGTTCGAAATTTAAGAGTTTTATCTGGTGTCATTTTATAAAAAATACCAGTTTCGTCAGTATTAAAAATATCGTCAGCAGGTTACTTTTCTACCACGTCTTCTCCAGCCAATCATTAGTGACGTGTCTGTCGACATAATTTCCCAGCCATCCTTCCGAAGCCTTGAAATCGATAATGCCAAGCTGTTCACCAAACTTTCCTGCTTTTAGTTTTGCCATCGGTCCAGAGAGTGGTACATTTTTAAGACGTTGCTGTTGGAACCACTGCAACATCGATCCAAATTTTAAAATTTTAGCATGTAAACAACGATCCGTAAGGGCTTCGTTTTTGAAAAGACATTTTTCATTAACATGATTTTGGATGAAAAATATAGGAGAGTGAACTGGAACACTTATTAAAAAACACCACGTATATTTTTCCGGAAAATGCCATGTAATCGTCTCAAAACGCGGGCGCGGATGGATTTTTTAATTTAAACTGCGCTCGGTCGAGGGAAAAAAATTAATTGCAAGTTATGAAAACTGAAGTTTTCTAGGAGACGCTTGCCCATCCTAATTGCAAGGGGGCTTGCGCGCGTGGCAGGAAAAATATCAATTCCAACGTCGTCGCAACCGTAATATGTGCACAAACACGGTCGTTAATTTTCGCACCCCCTTTAAACCGACACTCTGAACACGATTCAAATTATTAGAATTTCATCAACTTCTGGGGCTTCAGCCCTAAACTTTGTTTTATTTATTATGTTAAAAAATGTTAGAAAATTACACTTTTGAGAATGCACGTTCAAATAAAGGCCAATAGATTTTTTTTGAAAATTTTCTTCCTCTTCCCTTCTTTGTTGCGTTCTATGTATAATGAAAAGAGCCGAAAAATGTGGTTGTTCTGCGTACATGTTAGGAGAAACGGTTGAGAAAAAAAAAGCTAAGAAGTTAAGCAAATCAGACAGAAGAAAATTCGGGAACTATTCTCTGTGTTTCTCTATATGTGTAGATCTTCCGGGATAAATTGTTAGAAATACACGGACGTACGTACGTTATATGGTTTTTCTGGGACGGTTAAACCGGAGCACGGGAGGAGGGTAGGGGGTGAGAAGGGGGCACGTGTTTATTCCATGCGAAATTACGGCAGCGCGGTATTTTATTTTCCCACAGCCGTTCGCAATCCGCAACGAAAAAATAAACAAACAAAATAGGTTTATTGCAAAAATAATTCCATCATCTGATCACATATCACATTAAATTTTCGAAAAAACAACGACAATTTTACAGCATTTAAGTGGAGAATTAATCGGCCTTGATAATAAATAGTGAAAAATTATTGAACTGAGGTGGCTTTTACTTGATGAAAATCCATTTATCAAAATAAATAACAACTAAAAGTTCAGATTTTCACGAAATTTTATATTATGACATGACAATTGTGTCGACAACACCGTGTCTTTATCAAATTTAATATTTACAAACTACCTGCTACTAAATATACCGAAAAATGACCATAAAACTTTCATTAATGTTGTTGCGAGAATTTAAATTCAATAAAGGAGAGGTATTTAAATCTAATTGATCGTTAAGCAATACAGTTGAATATCTCTAGTGACAAAAACAAATATTTTTTAACAATTATGAATCCACAACCGCCTAAATTATATTCTTTAGTATATGCCCATTAGACCAGTCGTGTCTTATGTAAGAGCTAAAGCTGTTAAACTCTCTACAAAATTAGTAAATATTTTAAAGTTCCACACATATTTTAAACCAAAATTTGCAATAAGAAATTCTTTTAAATTAATCAAGAAAATTGAAGATATCAAAATCCCTTCTGACGCAACTCTATTGTCTTTTGATGTACAAAACTTATTTCCCAGTATTCCACCTATGGATGTGATAGATTTAGTAGATTTTACCCTAACTCGGAAACAGGTTAACCCATTGGTGAAACAAGATTTATTAGATTGCTTAATAGTATCTTTAGTACCAAAATTATTTTGAATTTAATGGACAGATTTATATCTCTAAAGAAGGTTTGATTATGGGAAATCCACTTAGTCCTTTGTTAGCCGAGATTTTTATGGATAATTTGTAAAATATCATACTAGAACATCCTTTAAGTAAAAGTTTTTTATGGTGGTATAGATACGTGGATGATATCTTTGCTTGCTTTGTTGGAACGGTCAGACAATTGAATTCTTTTTTAAATTACATAATCGTATAAAATTCACTATCGAGATTGACCAGGATAACTCTATTAATTTTTTAGACTTAACTTTTACAAAAGCGCAAAACAAATTAGATTTTTCAATATATCATAAACCTTCACACACGGACACAGTCATACATAACAGTTCAAATCACCCTTATACACGTAAAATGGCTGCATTTAACTCTTTTATACACAGACTTCTTAATACGTCACTCTCGACAGAAAATTACAAAAAAGAACTTAATATCATTAAACAAATTGCACTGAATAAAGGCTACAATCCGTCCATTATAGATAAAATTATAAATAAAAAACAAATACAGACTACAGTAAACTCTATTCATCCGAAACCTAATACAGAACGCGAACAATTTAAAACAATTACATACATAGGAGAACCTAGCGAAAAAGTTTCAAAACATTTGTCAAAATGTGGTTTAAAAATAGCAGAAATAACAACACAATAGGAAAATATTTAAAAAACAACAAAACGAAATGTCCAAAATTCCAAAAATCAGGTGTCTACAGGTTGACATGTGAATCTTGTCCTAAAATTTATATTGGACAAACAGGTAGATCCTTCGAGAAATGCATTAACGAACATATAAGAGCGTTTAAAAACAATAGTCTAGATTCTAATTGTGCTACACACTTAAACACAGAAAAACACATTTTTGACGACAATTTTGATATTTTACATACAGCCACAAAAAGTAGAAAATTAAATTTATTGGAAGCCATGGAGATTAACAAAATGAGACATTCAAATGTTAACGATCAATTAGATTTAAATACCTCTCCTTTATTGAACTTAATTTCTCACAACAACTTTAATTAAGGTTTCATGTTCATTTTTCGGTATATATAGTAGCAGGTAGTTTGTAAATATTACATTTGATAAAGACACGGTGTTGCCGAAACAATTCTCATGTCATAATATATAATTTCCTGAAAATCTGATCTTTTAGTTTTTATTTATTTTGGTGAAAAATTAGGGGTGTGGTGGGGTTGGGTCGAAAAGCATCGCCCGCATTGGCAATCGCAAATGTGCTACTGAATTGTGTACTATTTACAAAACTTCTGGATTCCTCCTGCGTCGAACTTGCTGACTCGTCAATCATCCCGTTGGCTTCCTCAGAGCTTGACTGAAACTGACTCGTATTTTACCCTGTACCTGCTTATATGTTGTTTGAGGGGGGCGCAGCTAAATGAGGGGCATAAACACAATCTCGGATGACTGATTCCCATATTGGTGACAGGTTTTGTAAAAGGTATTACAGTAGCCAGTGCAAGTTTCTTTGAAAAAAAAAACTGAATCGGGTAGTTTGCAAAGTATGTTATTTGTTCTCAGTTGCTGTGGTGGCAGCCTTCTTCATATGTTGGGCCCCGTTTCATGCTCAACGGCTGTTCGCTGTGTACCTATCGGGCGCGTCACCGGAAGCCCAGAACACGTACCTGCAAATGTATCTGTACTTGATGTACACCTCGGGAGTTTTGTACTTCCTGTCCACCTGCATTAACCCGCTACTCTACCACATCATGTCTAACAAGTACAGGAACGCATTCAAGGTACGTATTTCCGACATATTAGCCTTTAATTAAATAATATTTAATTTTAAAAAAGAAAAATATTTTATCCTTTTTCTTAATCGACGGCTAAAAGCAGGGTGGGGCTGATTGAAATCACGATTAAAATTATGACTTAAATCACTTGATTTTCTTCATTTAAAATCAGGATTTAAATTAAACTCCTATTTTTTTAAATCTTTTTTTATTGAGGCCAACACAAAAAGCACGACGTAAAAATATTATCACAAATAAAAAGTAAAACACAACTCGTTTCGCCAATTATCCTGTTGGCTTCTTCAAAGCTTGATTGAAATTGACTCGTATTTTACTCTGTACCTGCTTATATATTGTTTGAGGGGGCGGAGCTAAATGAGGGGCATAAACGCAATCTCGGAAGGTGACAAATTGGTGACAGGTAGAGACCTGATTCGCGGTTAAGATTGTTTCAAATGCATTTCAAATGGAATTTTGTCTTTGACCGACCGCAGATGTTGAAAGATTTTTGGACAAGTGGTAAATCTGGTTTTGACGTTATACTTCTTTAGAACTTTTGATATGTGGTCAGTGATGTTTTGAATGTAAGGAACGACCACAGTGGCAAGTGTAGGATTGCTTTCGGCCTCATTGCTATTGGAAGGAACGCTTAATATCTTTTATGTGGAAATTATTAGAGAGAAGAGCAGAGGTAAGGTGTTTTAATTCTGTTTTCAGTGACTCGGGCTGAGACAGTTTAACGGCTCTGTAAACAAGAGAGTTGATAACCGATGATTTTTGGGCCGGATGGTGATGTGACAATGCATTAAGGCATCGGCCTGTGTGCGTAGGCGTTCTGCAAACATACAACTCTGTAAAAAAATAAGACAAATAACATAATAACAGTAACAATTCTTCTGCATTTTCGTAGTAAAGTTGCGCACAGAAACTGTTTTATTATTGGTAGCTGTTTCGCAATGTCTGGCACATCATTTTGTGATGTCCACCACTGTAGTCCATTTACGTTTACACTTTGGAAGGACTAAAGCGTTGGTTCCTGCTTGACCGAGTTTCGATCTAGCCAGATGGTTATCGCGAAAATACTTAACATTTTTTACTACATGTTCTTTGACATCTGCTATTTGTAAGTCTTTGCACAGTAAATTCAAAATATGTGCAGAGCAGCCGTAAATTTAACTTTTGAGTACGTCTTTTCCTCCGAAGTTATCTGTCGCAATGGTTTCGTAAAGAAGCGCTCGTCCATCTTAAGTTGTTATTGTTGCACATAAAACTGCCTCATTGTGGACATTTGACCATCGTTAATGGAGCATATAGGCTATAAAATGAAATGATGAGTGCATGCTTATATCGATCCTGAACTTTTTGTATTTTTGATAAAGGTAATTCTACAACATTCTCGAAGATATGTAGTAAATGTTTCCACTGCTCTACAGCATCTCAGATAGTAGCATTTTTTGGGAGCAAAATATCAAGAGCAACTGATATTTTGTATTATGTAGTTATTGAATTGCTCGATCGATTGACCGAAATAATTTTAAAAGTACCATAAAACATATTTATTTAGTAACGTTCATTAATATTGTGCGTTACATCGCCGTCACGTCGTTCTCTGAACCAACTAGAGTCGATATTCTTATTGCGATCCCACGAATCGTCAAGTAACGTATTGGGATATAACTTGAAGAGGGTTATAGGTAAATTGGACATCACAAACGCATAATAATTTATTTTAAAATACATATTATTATTAAGTAATGATACATAACGCTCTACAATTGCAAGATGTAATTTAAAACATTTTTGACTAGTCAATTAAGAACAAGGTCAATTGACCAGTGCACTTTTGGTGGATTCAACCGGTATTGTGCCTTTCATGGTATACGAATTGTACTGAAAAAATTGTCACCATGCATACCGTGTCCCTTTCGCGTTCCGTCATTGGCCTATTCCCGGAAATTCCTAAAGAAATATTAGATATTTCTGAAATTAAAATTTATTATCACATTATTAGGCATATATAAAAATATTTTTAAAAGAAGCTAACCTAAACCTATAAATATACATGCAACTTACAACAATACGAACAACTTTTACGAAGAAAAATATATTGGGTTGTTCGGAAAGTCATTTCGTTTTTTTTGGGGAACATGAAAGACAGTTTTCGTATAATGAATAAATATTTTATTAAATTATATATTGGCCGTTCTGGTCCAACACCTTTTGCCATCTTTCTGGCAGTAACATAATTCCCCTCTCATAAAAGTTTTGGTCCTTGCTGGCAAAAAACTGGTTCAGGTGGTTTTTGACATCTTCATTTGAAGTAAAGGTTTTGCCATCCAAAAAATTTTGCAGGGACCGGAACAAATAGTAGTCGGAAGGCGCCAGATCTGGAGAATATGGTGGATGTTGCAGTACGTCCCATTCAAGCTGTAAAAGTTTTTGGCGAGTGACCAAACTTGTGTGAGGTCTCGCATTATCCTGGTGGAACACTACACCCTTCCTGTTGATTAATTCGGGCCTCTTCTCTTTAAGTGAATCATTCAATTTGTCCAGTTGATGACAATAGACTTCTGAATTAATCGTTGTATTGTCCGGCAAAAGCTCAAAAAAAACGATTCCTTTGACATCCCACCAAACGGAGAGCATCACCTTTTTTTGGTGAATGTTGGCTTTTGACACGCTTTGAGCCGGTTCATCTTTTCTGCTCCATAACCTCTTGCGTTTAAGATTGTTGTATACAACCCATTTTTCGTCCCCAGTAATAATCCGCTTCAAAAATGGATCATTTTCTTGACATTTGAGGAGCGAATTACACACGTCAACGCGACGACACAAATTTCGCTCCGTAAGGACACGGGGCACCCACACATCGAGCTTCGAGGTTAAGCCCATGCCTTTCAAATGGCCATAAACAGTCGAATTCGACAAATTTAATCTCTCACCGATCTCTCGTGTGGTTATTCGCCGATTTGCATCAACTAATGCCTTTATCGCATCTTTGTCAGCTTCGACCGGCCTTCCAGACCGTGGTGCATCTTCGACATCAAAATTGCCGGATCGAAATTGTGCAAACCAGTTCTGGCACTGGCGTACTGTTAACACGCCTTCTCCATACACATCCGTCAATTTTTTTCTCGCTTGGACAGCATTTTTACCATTTCTGAAGTAAAAAAGTAAAATATGACGAAAATGCTGCTTATTGCTCTCCACATTTAAAAGGGCACCAACCAAAAACTACTGCGTAGAATTAATAGAACTTTTTCACACACAAGCCTTGCAATATCAGCTCTCAAGACATATAATGGTTATGCGGCTTAAGTGTGAAGTTGGTTTCGAAAAAACGTAATTAAGTCCTCTGACGGGAAAAAACGAAATGACTTTCCGAACAACCTTATAGTATGTCTACTTAAACGAGAAGGTTAGGCAACCAGAAATACAGCCACATACTAATGTATATACATATTATGAAGTTATTGCATTTTCCTTTCTCTCTTTTATTTTCCTTCTCGTTTCTTCTATACACATATGTGAGTATTTTGTATTCTAAATCCCTATTGTGATTGTTTTATTACATATTGTCCCGTAATTGGTGTGAACTGTTTGACAATAAAATCTATTATTATTATTATTGTTATGATTATTATGTATTATTGTCATCATGATGGGTCGATATGACGTTCATAGATTTTTATGAACCATTAGGATAGGGACATTTGTGTGTTTCTTTCACTTCTTCACTTTTGGCGCATTTTTGGACAAAATTGTCAGCATGTATACCGTGACGCCCCTTCCGCGTGTCGTGATTGGCCTATTATTACTGGCACTGTATGTTTATAAAGGGCTTTGGAAATTAATGTACGAGGGGATCGGACACGACCGGGCTAATTGAAACGAAACAGTTTTAATTAGAATATTCGAAAGTTTGGAACTTTTAACTAACGGCAGCGCGTGGAGAGTGGGGCATATGTAATTACGAATATACGGTTGTTTTAAATCTCGAGAACACGGACCGACATTTTCCATTACCGGGGAATTATTCTGAGGGATTAGGCGCAACGTAATCGTAACTAAGGGCGTTTGTTTCCATTTTTTAAGCAAAACAATTCCAACGAATGAAAGAATAAAAAAGTAAGTAAAAACTAGGGGCACACTTTTTCTTTGTTACTTAGAAATTGTTAATTTTTATTTATCACAATGGTCTGCAGTGAAATCCTCCTTCAAAAAATTGAAATATGAAGATTTTAATGCTCTGGATATGTTCCCATTGGACGTCTAGATTTTTAGATATATTTTTTTTTATTTTATGCGTTAACATCATAAACAGTGTATATACACACAAATTACAGTACAGAGGCGCTTGCGCAGTATTCGTTGTGACGTTACAACAGTTAGCTGAAAACTTGTTTTTTAATTGTTACGTTCTGTATCATATATTTTGGTAAGTTTAGCATATTTTTGTTAAGTATTTTATGTGGAGTTCATGCATTTTTTCATGAATAGCACCAATAAATATAAAATAACAATTTGAAAGTTTTTCGAAAATAAAATTTATTTAATTCTAACTTCTAAGAATTCTACAGACTATTGCTAGATTTGTGGCGAGTTTACTCTAAGAATGCAGCGAAATGCCATAACCGACCTTGTTCAAACAGTTTATCAGCTTTATTTTGACATATGCTACAACAGTTGCTCAAGAACGTTGAGAGGTTGGCTTGAAGATAGTCACAAATCTATGGCGTTAACAATGCCAATCCTTTGGAGTGAACTTCATAATCATAAAAATGATTGTTATATCTGCATGGCATCAACACGAAGATCCTCGAAAAAAAAAAGAGATTATATATCCGAACATGGCATCTGCAAAGAGACCAATTCCTCGCAGCACTTTACCTCCAGTGCCCGTCTACAGCCTCAATAGAGTTTTATTTTTGCCTTCATACACTCTATCTGGATCTTCAAGTCCATCAAAAAAACCTCATTTACTTAAACAACAAGATTAAAACAGT